CGGGGAGCATGGCTCGGGCTGGAGCAGCAGTTCCTAAACAATCGCGAGTCCCGCGCCATGCTCCTCGACGTCGAATTCCGCACTCTCTGCCAGGGTGCCCTCTCCATCGACGACTTCTGCCGCAAGATGAAGACCATGGCCGATGCACTTGCTGATCATGGCAAGCCCGTCCAGGACCGCACCCTCGTGCTGAACGTCGTGTGCGGCCTTAATGAATGTTTCCAGTTCATGTCTCAACTCGTCACCCTCCAGCGACCATTCCCTTCCTTCGCCGACGTTCGTGCCGACCTGCGCCTGGCCGAGCTCAACATGGCACCGCCTTCGGCGCCTCCTTCAGCTCTCGTCGCCTCTACGCCCCCAGGATGCCCACCCCTGCTGCTGCGTCCCTGCGACCTCCACCAGCTGCGGTGGGGGGGGGCTCTGGCTGGTGGCAACAGCGGTCGTGGCCGGCGTCGCTGCGGTGGTCGCGGCCAAGGCAACTCGGCTGGCGGCCCACAGCCCACCGGCGGTCCTCCTAGTGGCCCACAGTGGCCCTCCTTCCTCAACCCATGGACTGGGTCCATTCATATGTGGCCTGGGTCTTCCTCCGACGGCTCTCGCGGCCCACCACTGCGCCCTGGCCAGCCACCACAGCAGGCCATGATGGCTGGCCCTGCTGCCCCCGGCGCATATTATCCTCCGACACCGGCTGCCTTCTACCAGCTGCCCGCCCTGGCGCCCCCGTCTGCGTGGTCTCCATGAGATCCTCAGGCACTCGCCAACGCATTCAGCACCGTCTCCCTCACTCCGCCGCCGAGCGCCTCAGACTGGGTCATCGATTCGGGAGCTTCTTCCCACATCGCTTCTAACTCCGGTATGGTCACTTTGTCACCATCCTCCTCCTTCCCCTCCTCCATTGTTGTCGGCAATGGAGCCACTTTACCGGTCATGGGTACTGGCTACTCCACTCTCCCTGGCCCCTAATATTATCAAAAACCTTCTCTCTGTTAGACAGTTTACCACTGATAATCTAGTTTCTATTGAATTTGACCCTCTTGGTATTTCTGTGAAGGATCTCCGTTCCAAGAATGTCCTTCTTTGATGTAACAGCTCGGGGCCTCTGTACACCCTGCAGCTTCCATCATCATCCTCCGGCTCCTGCGCTCTCGTAGCCACTCCATCTCCGACCACTTGGCATCGCCGCCTCGGACACCCCGGCAAAGCTGCCCTTCAGCGTCTTGCTCAAACCTCTTCTATCGTGTGCAGCAAACCTAATGATGATTCTATCTGCCATGCGTGTCAGCTTGGGCGCCATGTTAGCTTGCCCTTCACTAGTTCCCTGTCCAGAGCAATAAATTTTTTTGACTTAATTCATTGTGATCTGTGGACATCACCTGTCATCAGTGTATCCGGATTTAAATATTATTTAGTCATTATTGATGATTGCTCACACTTTGTTTGGACATTTCCTCTTCGCCTGAAATCTGACACTTTCTCTGTTCTCTCCAATTTCTTTGCTTTCGTGCTCACTCAGTTCGGGTGCGTTATCAAAGCTGTGCAATGTGATAATGGCCAAGAGTTTGATAACTCTGCGTCTCATGCTTTCTTCCTTGCTAATGGTGTCTCTCTCCGCATGTCCTGCCCCTACACCTCACAGCAGAATGGCAAAGCCGAACGCATGATTCGCACCATCAACAACACCACCCGCACCTTGCTGTTCCAAGCTTCCATGCCCTCCTCATCAATCGCCACAGCAACCCACCTCATCAATCGCCTCCCCACCAAAACCTTGCACATGAGCACCCCCTTCTTCGCTCTCCATGACACCCTTCCCTCCTATCATGATCTCCGGACCTTTGGATGCTCCTGCTATCCAAATCTCACCGCCACTGCCCCTCACAAGCTGGCCCCTCAGTCCACTTTGTGCGCCTTCCTCGGCTACTCTCCGGATCACAAGGGTTATCGGTGCCTTGACCTTACCACCAATTGGGTCATCATCTCTCACCACGTTGTCTTCGACGAAACAACGTTTCCCTTTTCCCTCCGTCGGCCCTCCCCTCCACCCACTGAACTTGATTTTCTAACTAATGATGATTCCCTGTCAGTCCCTCCTCTATCTGTAGGTACTCCCAGGGCAGCTGGGCCTCCGCCAGGCTTCTCCCTGCCCAGGCCGCCCCCTGTTCCGGAACCTGCAGCACCCGCTGTACAGGCGCCTGCGGCACCCGCTGTCCCGGCACCTACGGCGCCCGCTGTATAGGCACCTGCGGCGCCCTCTGTACTTGCAGCGCCCACTGTATAGGTGCCTGCAGCGCCCACTGTATAGGTGCCCACGGTGCCCGCTGTCTAGGTGCCTGCAGCGCCCCCTGTGCAGGATGTTTCGGCACCCTCAGCACCCCCTGTACAGGTGCCGGTCCACAGGCCACCCATCATCCACGTCTACCACCGGCGTCCTCCTGCACCAAGCCCGACGACCGAGCCTTCTGTTGAGGCTCCCACTCTTCGACGCTCCAGCATCGTCCCATCTCCACCGCGCTACGCCAAGCATGGCCCCCAGCTTCCAACTGGGGTTGTTCCCATCCCACCTGTCGCCAATTCCCATGGCATGGCTACCCGTGGGAAGATCGGGTTCCGGCAGCCTCGCTTCGATCTGCACACCGAGGTCCTCTCCCCGCTCCCGCGCACGTGTCGCGACGCTCTTGCCAATCCTCACTGGCGCCAGGCCATGGAAGAGGAATTTGCTGCTCTCTCCGACAACCACACTTGGGACCTCGTTCCTCGTCCTCCCAAGGCAAATGTTGTTAGCGGTAAATGGATTTTCAAGCACAAATTTCATACTGATGGCTCTCTGGACAGATACATGGCTCGCTGGGTTCTTCGCGGGTTTACTCAACAGCCCGGTGTTGATTATGATGAAACATTCAGCCCTGTTGTCAAGCCTGCTACAGTTCGCACAGTCATCACTTTGGCTCATTCCAGGGATTGACCGATCCATCAACTTGATGTGAAGAATGCCTTTCTTCATGGCACTCTGTCCGAAATAGTATACTGCTCACAGCCCGCTGGCTTTGTTGATCCTACTCTCCCTGAACATGTTTGCAAACTCAACAAGTCACTCTATGGTTTGAAGCAGGCACCGCGCGCATGGTACAGCCGGTTTGCCTCCTTTCTGCTGACTCTGGGATTCACCGAAGCCAAATCTGACACCTCTCTGTTTATCTACCGGCGTGATACTGAGACAGTCTATCTACTCCTCTATGTGGATGATATTGTGCTCACTGCATCTTCTCAGCAAATCTTACACCGGGTCATCGCTACACTCAAACAAGAATTTGCCATGAAAGATCTTGGTCCTCTGCACCATTTCCTTGGCATAGCTGTTCAGCGCAACCGGGACACTCTATTTCTCTCACAATGTCAGTACACCCTGGACATTCTTGCTCGCCACGGCATGAGTGACTGCAAGCCATGCTCTACCCCCGTTGACACTTGCGCTAAGGTCTCTGCTGCTGCCGGCCCTGCTGTTGCTGATCCTACAGCATACCGCAGCCTTGCTGGTGCCCTTCAGTACCTGATTTTCACCCGGCCTGACATCGCCTACGCTGTTCAACAAGTCTGCCTATACATGCATGATCCCAGGGAAGCTCATCTTGTGGCTGCCAAGCGGATCCTTCGCTACCTTCAGGGCACTCTTGACTTTGGCCTTGTCATTCCCCGCTCTGCTCCGACTCAGCTCGTGGTCTACACCGACGCTGACTGGGCCGGCTGTCCCGACACCCGCCGCTCCACCTCCGGCTACGCTGTCTTCCTCGGTGGCAGCCTCATCTCCTGGTCCTCCAAGCGCCAACCCACGGTTTCGCGCTCAAGTGCCGAGGCCGAATACCGCGCTGTTGCTAACGGCGTGGCTGAAGCCTCCTGGCTGCGGCAACTTCTCCAGGAGCTGCATCACCCGCTGGCCTCTGCCTCCCTCGTCTACTGCGACAACGTCAGCGTCGTCTACCTCTCCACCAACCCCGTTCAACATCAGCGCACCAAGCACGTGGAGATCGACCTCCACTTCGTTCGGGAACGGGTCGCCCTTGGGGCTGTCCGTGTGCTTCATGTTACCACCACGTCGCAGTTCGCCAATATCTTCACCAAGGGTCTTCCCTCCTCGGTCTTCATGGATTTTCGCTCCAGCCTGAACGTTCGTCCCAACAACGTTCCGACTGCGGCGGGGGGGGGGGTTGTTAGAGTTATTAGTCCCTATTTATTGTTGCCAATTCCCTAGGCTAGACTGGCCCCTTGGGGCGCCGCCTCCAGGCTGGCCAGGCCCTTTGGGCTCTCTTGTACTCTCTATATATATATGTAACACCTCTGCTGTAATCATTCAATTAAGCTAATCAATCTCAGCCTTTGGCTTCTATCAATTATTAACAGTACGGGAATACTATACATCCTTGGATTATTCTTTAGTTTGCAGTTTTACAAATGACCATGTGCTTAATTGATTTTTAGCAAGTGTGGTAGTTTTTTGTGGAAATGATCTATGCAATTATGCAAGTAATTATGAAGATATAATTATATAAAGAAATAAACAGTGGCCACGTTTCTTGTTTTCATATTATGTTAATTATTTGTACTTAGTGAGGTCTGCCTTCTAGTTGGTGGTAAGGGTAGCTTGAGAGATGTTGTTAACTAAAATATTATCTTAATTCTTTACAGGAGAGTATGTCGCTCTTGCTGGTGCCAGATTGGATGGTCCTGAAATGCTTGCATGTGGTCTGGCTACTCATTTTGTCCAGTCAAATGTAGGTTCACTTGTAACTTAAAATTTAACTGAGCTGCCAAATTTTGCTTCCAGTTATGATGTTTTCTGTTACATTTCTGGTAATTAATTATTGTTTGGAACATACCACAGAAATCCTGACCTTATTGATATAGAATTTTGCATGCTTTCAATATTTTTTTGGCCTGCATCATTAAGGTCCTGTATGTGGTATATCAGTCTTCAACTCCTAGTAAATACTCACTTTGTTTCCCAGAGGCTGCTATTGCTGGAAGAATCCCTTAAAAAGGTGGACACCTCCAATACTTTTGCTGTGTGTAGTACTATCGATCAGTTTGCTCAACAGCCATCACTGAAAGAGAACAGTTCCTTGAATAGGTAAGGGTGTTTTTCTGATTCAATGACTGAAATACGCCCCATTCATAATGTCACTAATTTTTCATTCTCTGGTGCACCCCAGGTTGGAAATAATCAACAAATGCTTTTCTAAAAGCACAGTTGAAGAAATTATATCCACTCTAGTGAGTTTGTTACAGTAAATGCAGGTTTCACTGGGTTCACCTATTCTGTCTTGACAAATAATTATTAAATATATATTTATTGTGTCAGGAGCAAGTGGCCTCAAATTTGGCTGATGAATGGGTTGCTAGGACAATCCAGTATTTAAAGAAGGCTTCTCCTACTAGTCTGAAAATCACTCTGAGATCAGTATCCATAAGAAACCACACCCCATATTTGTACCACTAGTCTACGATCTCAGTTGTGTGTACCAGAATATATAGTTGTTTCATTATTTGTTTTGTACCTCGGAATTCAGATAAGAGAAGGGAGAACACAAACTGTTGGGGAGTTCTTGCATCGGGAATATAGGGTGATTTGCCATCTCGTACGTGGTGACTTCAGCCGAGACTTCTTTGAGGTAATTAAATATGGACGCTATCAACATTGTTCTGTATACTTCGTTGCCATTGCAGCACAGGATTGTCTCTGTAGCTAACATCCAATTCCCGTTGCAGGGATGCAGGGCTATACTAGTAGATAAAGATCGAAACCCAATGGTTCAGATAATTTCATATTTAGCACATCTGCATCAAATTTTATTGCTGAGAGCTTATTTTATCTGATACAACCTTTAGATAATAATGGTGATTCTTTTTTGGGACTTGCAGTGGATGCGTCCAAGTTTGGAGCAAGTACATGACGAGGTAGTTGAAGAATATTTCTCAAGAATTGATGATCCACAGTGGGAAGATTTGAACCTACCCGACAGACGTTCCTATGGAAGAATTATTGAGTCCAAGATTTGATGGCAGTCATTATTTGGCGAAGAGTTTAATGGAGCCTCCGTTGTGGTCCGTGTGTAGACTGAAGACTACAGCTAAAATAAAACTGAATATGCCGTATAGGTCAACTTATATCACAGAAGATACTCTGTGTTTATTTTGTATGGCTAGACAATCAGCCAGCTCATCTTGTTTGGCCACTCGCATTCTACAAAAAGTATTTGTAGCAATGCCTCTTTTTTTTAAGGGGCGGCTCAATTTAAAAGCGCCTCTATAAATGGTTCCCTAAACGAGCCGTCTCTATAAATCTGTTTGTAGGGGCTGTTGGTGTTATCAGGCGTCCCAACAAGGCTTTATATCCAGCCGTCCTTGTAAAAGGATTTGTAGGGACGGCTGCTACAAATATATGTCGAATAGTAAAAATAAAGTACTGAAATTTGAATTTTTTAAACAACCTTGGATGGAGAAATGACTAAAATAAAAGTTGTAGATCTCGAAAAATTATAAAACTTTGTAGTTGATAACTTTTTTATTTAAAATTATTTTGTCAAGGAAAACTACGTTTGAATTTCTTAAATTTAAAATTTGAATTTTTTAAACGACCCTGGATCGAGAAAACAAAAAAAACAAAATTTGTAGATCTTAAAAAGTTATACAACTTTGTAGTTGATAACTTTTTTATTTAAAATCACCTTGTCAAGAAAAAACTACGTTTGAATCGTTTGAAATTTGAATTTTTTAAACGACCTCGAATGGAGAAACAACCAAAACTAAAGTTGTTGATCTCGAAAAGTTATACAACTTTGTAGTTGATAATTTTTTTATTTGAAATCATCTAATTGAGGATAACTACATCTAAACTTCTAACATTTGAAACTCAAAATTTTCAAATCACCTTGAATGGAAAAACAACAAAAATGAAAGTTGTAGGCTCGAATAGTTGTAGAACTTTGTAGTTGACCAATTTTCCATTTGAATTCATCTAGAGTCCAAAAACGCTCATATTAAATTCGATTGAGCATAATATGAGTAGAAGTAATATCTGATATGGACATAAGTGAGTGTGTGGTGGGTTAGAGGAGGGAACACGCGAGGGAAAAATCACGTGACTTGTGACTTGCCCGGTGGGGCCTTCCGAGAATTTTTTTGCTATTTTTTGACCCAAATTTGTGATTTCTACAAATCGACTTGTATGGGCGGCTAGCGAACTGCCCCTACAAATCGGTGATTTGTAGAGTCGGTTGAGTAGGGGCGGCTAGCCCAATTGCCCCTACAAACCCTCATGAGCCGCCCCTACAAATCCCCTCTGTAGTAGTATCGAGCTTGCTCGTTTAGCACACCACCTGTGTTCATAGGGGTGGGTGTGTTGTACGGTGTAATTCTAAAAAAAAATATCAATCATCACCCTCTCCTCACTGTTGGCACCACCTGTGACTCGGGCATTTAACTATTTATCATCCTTACAGGTGGGAAATATTCTATTTAAAAATTTACCATCCTTATAGGTGGCAAATATTCTATGTGACTGATTTAGAGGCCAACCTGAGTTTCCATCGCTAGGTAGGGTGCCATTTGGCCTGCTATTCAATTCATAAGGAAGACATACAGTTAAATAATCTCCTCTGCCTCCTCTCCCCTCTCCAGTTTCCACACCAACACCTGCCCCCGTGCTCCTTGTCCTCGGACCACATTCTGTACCACTCGAGGGCATGGCATGCAGTGACCACATCCTACCTTGGAGGACTCCAATAAGGAGAGAAAGTATGACTAATAGACCACAAAACTTATGACATGGCCACTAAATACTGTAATCATTAGAAGATGCGGCTCTTATGAACTTGGAGGCCTCTATAGAGGTGGCTGGGAATACAGCAGCCTCTGTCCCAAAATGCTAGCGTTGCTATACTTCTATTTCATAGGTTTCTTAATGACTAGTCATTCGTTTGAAGCCATAAGAAACCAGAAGGGAAAGCGACCATTTTTTCGAATGACTGATTTCGAGAATCAACTAACCAAAAAATTCGTTGCCCAGGTGATTCACTGCCTCCTTCTTGCCAAATTAAAATAGGATGATCTAGCTTTTCTATTTGATGTAACATGACATGTGGATAAAGTTTCTTTCTTCTAACATGGTAATTTTGCAAAAAAAAAGAACATGATTTGTTTGTAACATGCTAAGAATATCAGCCTGTTCGGGTGGCTGGTTCGTATCGTTGCTGGTTCGTGAAGAAGTACTGCTGGTTGGTTTGTGTGAGAGAAAAATACTGTTCCGGCTGAAAATTTACGATCGTTTACGACAAGCCACAGCCAAACGAACATGCTGTATATCATTACTTTAATTTGGGGGTTGTAGAAAACCCCCAAGGAAATGCATATTGATGAGGACATCGCTCATGATACTCCATTGGCCAGCGTTGAACATGATCGTGGCCGTCGTGAACAAAGCAACCCCTTAAAAGACCCGCCTCTGTTTGTGTTTTGAGCTGTTTGTATTTTGAAAAATCCACCGCAGGTGTATGGAGCAGAAGCGACTATGACTGGAATCTGCAAACAAGCAATTAAATGCATCATGGCTGCAGCGTAATCGAAGCCTAGTTCTGGGTAGTTTGAGATCTGCAAACACGCAATTGAATGTGTCATGGACTCAGCATAAATGAGAGATGGGGAGTAGTAGTTGCAGTAGTTCACCACACATGGTTGTTCTCTTTTTGTTTCAGATGTGTTGTAGCGTGTTGTTTGAACAAAACCTTTATAGATCATTACTGCAAAGAAATTACTGTTGTGTTAAAATAAATCCAAAGCACTAGTACAGAGACGGCCTTTACTTCCGATGGAGAACCCCCTCTAGTCCCGATTCCCCGCCTGGGAGCAAGCATCCGGGACTAAAGGGGGGTCCTTTAGTCCCAGGTCAGGAACCGAGACTAAAGGGGGACCTTTAGTCCCGGTGGGTAACACCAACCGGGACTAAAGGTGCCTCCTGACATGCCACGAGGCCGGCACCCTTTAGTCCCGGTTGGTAATACGAACCGGAACTAAAGGTTTTTTTTTCTTTTTTCTTTTCTTTTCATTTTTTTGTTTTCTTTTCAAAATAGGTTTTCGAAGTCGTATTGTACGCTGCTAATAATACATTTATACGCGCGTATAGTATGTTTCGGTTCAAGCACAATGAACATATTAAATGACACAATTCAAGCATAGAAATATATATATATATATATATGCATGCATCATATATATATATTTACATGCATGCATGCATATGTGTAACACCCGGTTTTAAGGACAAAGCTGAATGCACACCATATGTGAGCCCTGGAAATCAAATCTCACATATAACTACAAATGAAGGGGCAGTATCAATTCATAATGCTTAATATATAACGAACTTAGCAAAAGAGATAACCTTAGAAAGTAGTCAACGGATAGACAACTCTGAACTCCGGGTGCAGACTTCACTCCACTGGATCCATCTGACTGGTTGACCACAAGCCCAACTTCTCAAGTCTCTGACAGACTGTTATCCAGCCTGAGGTGTGGGAGAAATTGCAAGAGTGAGTCCATGTCGAACTCCGCAAATATAGCAACAAGGTAGTGTAATCCATAACCACATGATCAAGTGTAATTGAATAATGAATCGCACATAAACAATTTAAATGAACATACAACAATTCCCTCAGTTTTCCGGGCCGCCCGTATCCGTGGGCACGGCTAGTATACCAGTTTATCAAACTCTGCGCAGAGGTGTACACTTTCACTGTGAGTCATGATTCTCATATGTCCGGGTTAGCTAGGCCGAAAACACAGAGAACCATATAAAGCCACCCAAGAGCTCATCTAACTGGCCAGGGCCGCAGGGTCATCAGATATAGGAACCCCCTTCCAAAAATAAAGTAAAAGGCCGCTTCCAAAGCTAGGCTCAACAGGACAGAGGCTGTCCTATACCCAACTCGCAGACCTCTAACCAGCTAGAAAAGGATTTCTTAAGCAACTAGAGCCAGAGCCATATAGCCCTCACAGCTGTATTGTAAGTCCCAGCTTTTGCCAAAGGATAACATTCATCATTTATGTTTATATCACATTTCATTAAACAAGCCC